AAAAAAAAAAGGCTGAAGAGGCTGTGGCTTCATCTGATATCTACACTGCCACCCAGCATCTGCGCCAACTGAATAGTGAGGTCCGAGAGTGCCGGAGCCATGCAGAAATGCCATCAGGAACAGTGGGAGCTGGAGAGTGTTACAAATCCGTGCCTAGACTACAAATGTCACCAGTCTGCCTTCCTTCACAATCTTCTTCCCAGTCTGGGTTGCCCTTCTCTCCTTTTCAGGCACGTTAGAATAGCTTTTTCCTTAGACAGTACTCATACAGTACAGTTTAAGCAAAAGTATTTTAATCTGAGACAAACTCTAATGCTGGTCCCAACTCAAGAGAGACAGGGTGCCTTGCCAGTATTTCCCTCCCCATTTCCTTCTCCCACTTTGTCCTGCTTTACCAATATTTGTGGAGGTATTGAATTGTGAGTTATAGAGTTTGATGGAAAGGAAAAACCACAATCAAACCCACCAGCAGGTCATCAACTACAACCAGACTGGGTCAACAAACTACAAACCAGGTATCATATTTACACTAGTGTACATACAGGTAATTCAGTGCGGTGTCATTCCTCCCTCATCACAGCATGTTGGACAGATTGAAATGGATACAAGTTTTGCCTTTGCTTTCACTAGGGCCAGGATTTCATCCATATGAAAATCCATCCTATAAAACTGTAAATCAACCGCACATCAAGGATGGAGTAGTTCTCACTATCACTGCAACTCTAAACAAGACACTTATTTTTAATATGGCTTGAACTGGAGCCAGGGAGTAATAGAACCAAATCTGTGTGCAATGCTTTTCCAGTTACTTATTCTCAAGTAATATGTATCCAATTGAGCAACAATAACAAAAAAGAACCACACATGTACTCTTACAAAACATACTTACAGCATTTAGTAATTTTCAATAGACAAATAGGACGCGACAGATGGATTTGAGAAAGTTGAGTTCACAAGATTTACTCATGTGGAGACAAAAATCAGAGTTGCCTTAAGAAAAACCTCTAAATCAAGGAATTTTTAATGGAAACTCTCTCTTTCTCTGGGCTTATATATTTATATTTAAAGGTTATTGTAGCTGGTTTCATCTCTGTGACATTACCTCCCTATACAGAGGACAGCAAAAGAAAATAGGAAACAATAAATGATACAAGAAATCCATCTGGAGTTAAGACTATATTTATTATTTTAAACTTTGCACACTCAACTTGTTCAACATCTTTCTGACAACTCTGTGCTCAATAGAAGTTTCTTGAACAGAATCTGTGACCCAGTGACACAGCATAGAGTCTTACAACCGACACCAAAATTGAAACCAGTGAGATTAAAAAAAAAAAAAAAAATCCCCCAAAAACCCAACCCAAACCAAAATCAAGGTCCCCTACAATCTTTAAGGAAAGAGTCCTTTACTTTTGATATATCAAGAATGACATTTTTTGTTACTTTACAATAAGGACACGAAGTCTCTGAAGGACACAGAAAGAGGAGCTCAGAGGTTGAAGGGCTCAACTGGGCTTTCCGTTTCATAGCTGGTTTTACCACATTTAGGCTGTGATCCAGAACTTACTGACTTCAGTGAACTTCGGATCAGGCCTTTAATCATATTAATTCCCTTTGACTGAAGTAAGGACATAAATATCATCCGTGCAAAACCTTTCCAATCCCTGCACTAAGATGAAAATGCTTGTAAACTTTAAAATGAACAAAGCAAAACCCTGATGCTACTGAACAGAAGTTTCACCACATATTTCAGCTGGACAAGGATTTCCCTAGTGCTCTCCTCAAATTTCCTTCCTTTAATATGCCACCAAAATCAAGGTGATATAAACCAAATAACCAGAACTCTGTTTTACAATAAACAGAAAGAACCTTTTCAGATCGCAGATGTGGCTGTAATATATGCATTTATACAGTTTCTCTTCCTCTCTCTATCCGTTACATGCCCTGTAGGATGCTTCTAATCTTCCGCAAGACTGAGTGACAAGAAGTTAAGAGGAAGCAAGAACAGGAGTTCACTGAAACTTCTGTCCAGCAACCTGGGAAATGGCAGAGCTCATACTGGACCTTTGAAAACAAGTGACCATAGGAAATCAAGGTTGGCAGGGATTTAACCCTTCGTGACTAGTTTTGCTAACTTTTAAAGCAAACGCCTGAGCTTTTTAACGATGTTTGACATCTAATTAGTCGAGAAAAACAAGACGTTAAAATGCATCCTTGCTCTTCTTTTGAAATGAAGCACTGACAATTAGCTCCAAGGTGTTTGTTTAGGCAAAAAACAAGCATGCATGTTAAAAGAAAGCACAATGACAGTCACTGAAAAAGAGAAGTCACTTGGGTCATTCTTTTGACCCTGCTGGGTTTGTTGTGGGTTTTTTTTCAATATCATAAATTTATTCTATTCAACCACAGCTCTTCATGGAGAAGCTGAACGGGTAAGTAATTGGGTAGCTCCTTTACTTAACTGCAAAGTCTGAGTAGAGATGAATGATGTAGTATCACAGTCATACAGCAGTGAGGTATATCCTGAGAGAGACATATTAGCATGTAAGGTGCCTAAAAGACATATTTTCAATACCTACAGCTCTACACAAGGTGTTAACATTGATCTGTGCATAAAATTCTGTGCTGGAAGCAAATTTTGTCTGGAAAAGCACCAGCTGATAAAGCTTAGTTTTCCCTGACTAATAATGATATCCCCATACTTAGGGATCAATGCTGCAGCACAGGCAACACGTTCCTTTTGACCTGGCCGAGAATTTACACTGGTACTTAACATTAAGCATGTGAGCAGTTTGATCTGATTTTTAGGGTTACACATGTTTTAAGTCAAATCTGTGATTAAGTATACATATGAATCAAAGGCCAGAGTGTGAATTGCTGTAAGTCTTCAGACTTTAACTTGCTTTGAATCAGCTATGCATTTACTTTCTTTACTAGGTAGGAAATAGGGTTGCTCAGCATTTGAACTCATTGTCTTTTTACAGTGATCTGCCAATTACAAAACCAGTTTCAATGTTCCTTTCAGTTTCCTGTTTTGCTTATATAGGATTGACTGTATATTAAAATTTGGTGTCTGATGTCTTCAAAAAAAAAAAAAAAGAAAATGAGACCCTCTCTCCCAGCAAGAGCAGAACTGGAAAACAACCAATCAGCAGATTAGCAAAATGTTGCTAAACTGTATATGGATACAGTACCAGCAGGGTGAAGAAAAAAAAAAAAAGAAAAAAAGAAACCCACTACCAGTCAGATTTGGCCACCGTTTGAAACCAGTTTCTGTGAATTTAGTCAGTATGAGCAGAGGTAGCAGACTTGAGCCATCAATAAACTTTAAAAGGGTGAAAAAAAATCCCAATAATTAATTACCTGTTAAATCTCTTTACAGGATATTTTTATAGCATTTATGCTTCTATATACTAATCTGAGTTTCAGTATGATTGTAAAAGTTTGGAAGCAGTTAAGAGGTTTTTAATGAATTTTTTTGAAATGACATGTAGTTATGGTAGAGATTTCAGGCTCTATTATGCAAAATAATCAATTTTGTGTTAAATACAAATGGCTTTTCTTACGAAAACCAAATTAAGAGATTCTGAACCCCTTAAACTGCTTTTTTCATACACAGCTTTTCAAGTTTAAACACACACATATATGCATACATGTGTTCTTTAATAAAACCCCACACATGCATTTATTTCACACAGTGCATCCAAGTTTTGCAGGTGTTTAATTTTTGTTTTTCATCTGGAGTGCGAAAATGACGTGTGCCTTGTATCAGAGAGGACTTTCCTCCCTCTCATTTGCAGCACAGGATGAAAAAAAAGGGAAAACGTATATCTACTGGCAAGAGATATATTGACACTATACTGTAAACTGAGATTGACATCTATGACCAGGCATGCACACACATGTTCTTTTTTTTTTCCACTGTAGAAGCAGTGTGTTTTCTACTCTTCTTTCAGAACTGTAGCTGCTCTTCCTTCTCTCAACCTTCAATAATCTGGGAATTATGAGAAGGCAGCTCTTCAGAGAGACATATATATAGACATAGATGTATAGATCTCCCTTATAGAAATAATACCCTGCAATTCTTAGATTTTAAACTTCTCTCCCAGTTGCACGTTCTGCAGATTTGGTGAATTCTTCTGAAAATGTACTTAGAGAGGAACTATGCTGATAAAGGAGAGAGTCTGCCTACTTCAGAGTCCTCCTTTAATACTGTCAGTATTGTCCAAAAGTTAATTACTGACAATTGCAGTGTGAATGGCATTACACAATTTCAAACATAAACGTAATCTCACAGCTCTTCCTTCAGTTACACCTTCTCTGTGATCTCTACTGAAATACATCAGACTCCACGGAAAACAACCCCAGTTCAAATAAACTGCACTGCATTAAACATCCATAGGCAGTGTTTTCTAGTGCATAACAGTCCTTTCCTCCTTTTCTGGACTGATCTGTTCCTTTCAGTTTATAGTTTCTTGGCAAACCCACCATCTACTGCTTATGTTAGGCATCTGATTGTCAGATTTGTACAAACTGAATATTCATGACTTGAAAATTAACTACTTCATGCCTAAAAAAAAAGGAAAATATAAATCTTCATCTATTCCGTGCCGTTTGAAACAGATCTGGGTATTGTGGCTGCGCTCCGTGCCCAGCACGGGAGAGATTAGCTGGGTGGCCAAACACGTCTCATCGTTTTAAAGAGTAAAGTCCGATGAAATAGCACAAGACTGCAAAATACTCTTCCAGGGATCAGCACGATCCGGAGTCCCTGGCTGCAAATGCAACTAACTCTTCTTTGTCTGTGTTTAAACTGCGTGGTACCGACCGTAGCACGGAGCGGCTTTTTAAGTTATTTCTTCCGAAATTCCTCCTAATGCCAGTTTGCCCTTTGGAAGATAAGGAAAGCCAGGGAGGAAGGTGGGGAGAGAGGGGAGCGACGGGGCAAGGAGGAGAGGTCCTGCGGGGAAACCGAGAATACGAGAGAACAACAGACTTACCTTTATAGGATAATTTGAGCCTTGGCACATTATTCTTCACATGCTGGCAGTTCACTCTTCCTGCTAGTAATACTCCCAAGGAAAGCAAGGCAATCCCCCTGAGCCAGCCCATGCTGCAGCAGCCACTGTAGGGTCCCTGCGAGCCGGAGCCGCGGCGCTCCCCGTCCTGCCGGGCGCCGCCGGGGAACTTCAGGCGACCTGGGGAGCGGAGGTAACAGGTGATGGGGGTGGGCTCCGCGCCCCGCCGCGCCCCGCCGCGCCCCGCC